CGCCGCCACTAAACAGAGAGATGCTTTGAGTCAACGCTCCCGCCCCCTTCTCTCTGTCTTCAGCCTCTTCAATTTTCTCTGCTCGCTAGCCGAGGCAGAAATTGCATTCTTCTTTCTTTCACCAAAAACATAACAATAATGATGAAAAAAAATACTCTCTCCACCCTGAGTTAACTCTCCATAAAGGGACTTTTATCTTCAACTGCTATGAATTTATGTCTTTAAATATGCTGAAAGCTACCCAAGTCTTTTTTCATATTTATTTCAAAAGGTTTCTTTGCATTTTATGTTATATTTTTGCGTGGAGTATTTCTTTAGGTTATGTCGGTTGATATTTCAAACTTGAATAAAACTCACAATAAAATAGAATTTTATAGAATTTTTATAGAATTTCTCTTGTCTTTTCAAAACATAAATACCCAACGTTATATAATTGCTTTTATTTTTAACATAAAACTGCTGAAACAACAAAATATAGATTTTTTCTTTTTCTAAAATTATTACAAAATTATCAAAAACATTCATTGATTTCAAATTCTCTTGAAAACTCGGCCTGCAAATTCATTTTATTTATTTATTTTTGTACGCAGCAGAAACACAGAGCCATCTCTAAGCAGCTAGCTCGTATGATTTGTGGATTTCATTGCCGTGCTGATCCCAGTGTTGGAAAAAAATCAAAAGGTCAGCATCTGTTCGAGGGCGGGAGAAGCTGAGCAGGTTCAGTAAAAATGCTGACAAAAGCTCTAATTAGGACTGTAGCCCAGCAGATTACCACCAAGGTCGTACGCCACATACTTACAGGAAATATTTAACCACCAGGCCCAGCATCATGACCAAGGATCCTCTCTATTGTGCAGTTTTGAGCTCCGTGTGCGGCAAACTGTGATGCACTTGTGTATTCAGACACCTTTCCGTTGGAATCAGCGTCGAGTTCTGTCGAGTCAGACAAACACCGCGGTAACCTCATTCAAGCTGCAGTCGTGGCCGCGCTCTGACCTGCACGCCGCCTATTCTCCCATACAGAGCATGGCATGACGTACAAACACTGCTACATCGGAGCTCGTGACACCCTCTGCATTTGCACCCCATTTCCATAGACGGTTCCGTCTGCGACCGTCTGGACCGAGGTAGCAAAAGAATCGGGACCCTGTCAATCAGAATTGTTTAATCGATTGGTTTAATTCCTCAAACTTTTGGAGCACAAATCTGGAAAACAAAAACAATAAAAAAGGTTTTGGCCTCCTCACAGATGTCTTTTTTTGTGGATGAGTTGATGGAATTAATAACATATTTCTTTAATAAAATAGTTGTATTAGTATGTTTATAGTGCTATATAAATTGAACTAAATTCACTTGAATATTTCAGATAATCAAACAAAAAAGCTGGGATGGCTTTGATATGAAAAGTTGTTTGAGCTGAAACATTTTTTATATAATTTTTTTTATATGCCGTCAGTGTAAGACGGCATTGTTAATATTTGCATTCATTTTTTGGAATTATTTGACCAGGATCAAATCTACACTGTCAAAAACAATCCCCTACATGGACATAAATAACTCTGATTGCATCACAGAAAATAAACTGATCTGCTTTATTACGTTTTTTTGTATTTTGGAGGACGTGCCCCCCAACCTCAATTGTTTTTCCTTTTTTTACTGTTGTTGTCCACTGATGACATGACAACTTAAATTTCCCACTTGGTCGTTAAGGCTTTTTCTTCTGAATTTACTGTAAGTCAAATCTGTCACCTGATCACTTCAGTTTATGTCTCTAAACTAAAAGAACATTTTGCAGACTCCTGCAGTTGAAATTCATACAGTATTCCCCAAATGAGTTTTAGCGTCAGTGTGCAATTTCTAGTGAAACAGAAATAGTTGAAAACACTGGGCTGCATCTATGAAAATAAAATTAAGCCTCTCTTTCTGATTGAGGTTATTTCTGTTCATTAGGTGTTTCAGTGTTTGCGTCGTCCTCCTCACCTTGATGGGCTCTGTACTGAAGCGGATCTTCCTGGACGGGGGCGGGTCCTCCTCAACGTCAAGGCCAGGAATTTCCACGCAGCTGGACTCAGGCTCATAGCGCTCGTCTGCCTCCTCCTCCTCCTCCGCCTCCTCTTCCTCCTCGTCCTTCTGGCTTTCCCCATAAGTGTCCCCCATGGTGCTGCAGGTGCTGATGTTTATGAGGTCACGTTCCGACTTGTCGTCCCTGTGAGTCCTGTCGTCCTCGTCTTCCCTCTCCTCCGCCTGCGCCAGCATCTCGTTGGTCTTTGGAGATCTTTTGACCTCCGCAGCATCTTCTCCGTTCTCCACAGATCCGTGGAGGTCACCTGTGCTGTTGGGCCCCTTGGCACCAGGCAGATTGTCATGTTGGACAATCTCTTTGGCCTCCACACCCACATCCACAACAGTCTTTTCTCTTTGCTCAAAGGACTCTCCTACATTACTTGAATGTTCGGCGGTGGGACATTTGCTAGAACTCTTGCCTCCGTTGATGCTTTCGGATGGAGGCGTGACCCTTCCTCTAAGGCCCCTGGGCGGCCCCTCTCTGCCCTTCTGATTGCTTATCTCTTCCTCTTGGTGGCCTGATGCAAAGGCACTGACCCTCTTGGTGATTATCTTTGAGTTCAACACCCCCACCTTGGTGCTGACCCCCCGGGAAGGGAGAGGCGGTGTGGAGGAGAGCCGGTGAAGGTTGTTCCGCAGCTCAGCCGCCCTCTCAAACACAGCACTGAGCTGGCTCACCGTAGGGGACACCGCCTCGCTGGTGTCCAGGCTGTCCAGGGACTCTGTGCTTCCGTTAAAGCGAGACACCATGTCCAGCCTGCCATCCTGGAAGGCCGGGGTCTTGTCGGTCTTCAGCAGCACCCGGGTGGTGCTCAGCTTCTCCAGCCTCTCCTGCTTCTCCTGCTGCTGCTGCTCGAAGATGCGGCGGGTCTCCTGCAGCTTTGAGTAACTGGGCGACGAGGCCCGCTGGTGCCCGTTCTCGGCTTTGGGGTCGAACTTGTTGACGCGCTCGGACACGGTGGAGCCGAGCTTCAGCAGCGCGCTGTGGTCCACGTTTTCATTCAAGCTGCCGGCTCTGGGCAGGGACAGCCGCACCGTCCTGGCGCCATCCTCCACCTCCACGTCGCTCCCGGTCGTGGTCTGCATCTGCTGGAACATGTTTTTAATGCGGTGCACGTTGGAGCCGTACCTGCGGCCCCGGGGGCCCTCCTGCACGTCCCCATTGGAGGCGCCGTCTTTGACCGGCTTCAGGGCCTGCATCCCCGCCTCGTACGCGTTCCTGTGCGGGGACGGGCTCCTGAGCGTGGAGCTGGTGCTCTTGGATGTGGATTCGGTCTTCATCATGTTCGGTCAGGCGTCGCGACGGATGCTCAGCGACCTCATGTCTCCCTTCCACTGCCCTCCCAAAAGCTGTTGTTCCTCCACCCGGCGGCGGATCCCAGCGAGGTGGCGCCCAGCCCGGACTAAACACAAACAACAGATCGCATCAAAAGGCCTGCCTGCATCCGCTGCAATTGTCAGAGAAAGTGAGCACGATGCATCTGTCAATAGCTCGCATGCAGACGCGATGCAAACCTAAACCTCCGGGATATCTGCGGCGATCATTCAGATATTTGCACGGGGAGAATAAAGCGGAGATGAGCGGCGGATTTAGCACAAACTGACGACAGATTGCTTACGTTTAATCTCTTTTTGGAGGCAGCATCATTTTGATCTCTTCATTCTGTGAGCTGCAGATTTCTGGTCCTCCTGTAGCGGCAGACTGCTGCTGCTGCATGCAGGAGGAAGCTTCCGGGTCATAAGGCCCGCCGGTCAGCTCCGAAATCCCCAAACACAAAGGGTGGGCCAAAAAAATTAAAAATGAATATATAGTGTGTGTGTGTGGGGGGGGGGGGGGGGGGTTGCGCGTGTGTGTGTGTGTGTATGTTATATTATATATGTAGGTTTTCATATAAATTATGAAAGCCAACAGTTAAATACTTTATTTTGTTAATTTCAAGGCAACAAGAACATTTTAATGCTGTTTAAATAAGTTCCTTCTCAAAGTCTGTGTTGAGTCTATTTGCCACCAAATGTAGCCAAAATGGGAACTATTAGACATTTCTCAAAACATATTATAATTTTGTTTAATAATTAATGCATTTAAATACTTTGTTGCTTGTTTATTTATTTATTTATTTATTTGTATTAATTAGAACTTGTTTATTTGTTAGATTGTGATACTTTTGCTTTCCCATAGAACTGTGAGGGAGAATGTCTCATTTCCAGGTCTCTCTTGTAAATGAGACAATGAGTCTCCAGGGATATTCCTGCATAAACAAAAGATTAAAAAGAATCAAACACTTAGAAATGGCACCAAGAGGAAGATGCGTCGTCGTAGTTGCTGGTTTTACTGCGGCCTCCACTTACAAAACGGGAAAAATGTCAAAGATTTTCAGTGGATACTGTGGATATGCTCCAAAGTGCTATCTGTGGACTTAGTCGGTCGGCGTTAGGACCCAATGAAGTCTCGCTCACGTCAGACCCTCTCGACCAATAGCGCGCCCGCTATTTGCAGCTCAGATTGCTGCTTCCTGCTTTGTGCATCTTCACTGACAGACATGTTCGGTGCTGCGGGCCGTCGCCAGAAAGCATTCTGTTTCTGTTCAGCTTTAAAGCAGGACTTACCAGACTCGGTGTTGAAAAGTTGCCCAAAGGCTTGTCATTTCAAAACCTCGAAGCTGCGCCATAGTCAAGATTCATCATATATTTATTTATAGGAGGAGTTACATGTCCTTTCAATGGCGATCAATAAGCAATCAAAACATACTGGAGTCAATGACTACAGGCTGAAAAGTGACTTTATGCTCATCCTCCCTGGTCTTTTGGATCAGCTTTTAGCTTCAGGTCTTTTGGTTACAACTCTCAGCTTTGGAGTTCCAGAAACTGTAATCTTTGTTCATTCTTTTTTGTCTTTTTTTATGAAATAATTCTGTGAACTTTAAAGATCCAGATTTAGAGTCTTATCGCAGGCTTTGATCTGAACCATTTCATTAGTTCTCACTGCTCAGGGTCATTGATCTGGTGGAAGGTGAACCTCCACCTCAGTCTAACATCTTTTGCTGCCTCCTACCAGTTTTTCTTCCACATGCAAAACAAGCAAAACTGTCAAAAAAAAGTGTGTTGTTTTTCCTTTGTCAAATATTCACTATAGTCCTCAATTTACAGACAGACGCCAGTCTGGATGTTGTTAGGTGAGTGAGGCAAAAATAACTTTGTCATGAGTTTAACTGAGGCGACCCCCCACTTGCCCTGTCTGCATTTGGCTCCGTCAGTCAAAGGCCAAAAACAAGATGGCGGGATTCAGGAGCTGGCTTTTCATTTCAGCAGGCAAGTTTAACTCTGAAACATTAAGTTTCATGTAGTTAAAGAAACCAAAAATAGGCTTCATGTCTTACATTTAAGTCTGTTATTGAATGGCAATATCACCCGTGACATCAGCCATGCAGTAATGTGACTGAACAACTGACCTGCTTTAGTCATTTTTTATGATTTTGGCAAATATACTTTTTTACATTACACATAATGTCTTGTTTTGGCTTTGTTTTGTTTTGTTTTGTTTTACTTCCACTCAGTCTCCGCTGCCACCTTGTGTGGGATCAGTGCCGAAATGAAATTGACCATTTCTGTGGGGAGGTTGTTTACATATGAAGTGATGAGAGAAAATTTCCAGAGTGACTTCGATCAGCACTCGCTAAAACTCTACAGTAAGTCTGATGCACTTGTTTTCTTAACAACTGACAGACAGGAAAAGATACACTTTTCTCACACTTCTGCATCTATTCTTACATGGTATACAGCCGGGATTCTCCATGATGACCCCATGATTTTTAAGTGCAACCGGCAGGGGTTTCCTGACCTCCCTGAGTGGCTCCGCTTCATCCAAAGGCATCCCAGTGAAAATGGCTTCCTGTATGGCACACCAACGTCTCCGGGAAAAACCTTCATTGAGGTCTGGATTTTTTTCTGTACCAACATCAAAAAGAGCTAGAGACAATTATAATGGCAGTAAGTGTCAAGCTGTCAAATCTGTAGAGATAAAAGGTTTGGGCTGATTCTCCAGTAACTATTTTAAGCTTAGATAAAAAAAAAAAACAAACAAAAAAAACTTGTAAAACCTCTTTGAAGAAAAAAATCTAAAAGTATCTCAAAGTATCTGTAGTTTTAATTAAATAGAATATATTAATAGAGAAAACATTTTTTTTCTGATTAAGTAAAGATGAAAGCCACATATTTAGTTCAAGCAGATAAACTCAAAATGTCAGTGAAAACTATATTACTCGTGGGCTTTTCAATGTTTTTTTTTTAATCTGGGGACCACTTCAATTAATGTTAAAACTCAAAAATGTAACTGACAAGTTTGAATTTATTGTGTTTGTGTCAAAACTATATTTACATACTCAAACATATCCATACACATTAAAATAATTGGGTGAATGTTCGACAGCAGGCTGCAGAGAAACCACACATATTTTGTGGTCATCTAAAAGCTTCTGGCTTAATTCTGTCTGGACACATCTTGTCCAAACTGGTGGAGTTCCTGGTATACAGTTTAAGGAATCCATTGTAAGCCTCCCAGAACTCGGTTTAATGTGTGTGACAATCGGTCCCAAAATGAAAGCAAATCAGTTTGGATGGTCAGGATGAACTTTAAATTCAAATCTGTCATAATCTGTAAAATGTTGGTGTAACCAGAGTGAAACCAGCTTTACATCAACATCGACTGATAGAGAGAGAAGGCACCAACTAAGAAACCACTGAACTCTGCAGAGTTCTACATTTAAAAAAAAAAAAGTAGCTGAGGTTAACAGATGTCATTATTTTCTCCCAGATTTATGCAATCAACAAAAACAGCTATGACACAGCAAGAGACCTTCTCGTCATCAAGGCTGTTCCAGGTACGTATGTTTTTTGTTTATAGAAGTCTACCTACAACAATGTGTGTGGCAGGAGGATATGAGGAGATGTGGAAAAAATAAAATAAAATCCAAGATTTACCTAACAGAGAAGATGCTGCCCTATCAAGCGGAGTTCTTCATCGAGCTGAGGGAGATTGAGAAGGTGCTGCCCTCTTCTGTTCAAAGTGAAATAAAGCAGGATCTGCAGAAGCTGTGGAACAATGAGGCGCTGGAAATTGTCAACATTACCAACGCCCTCGACCGCGGAGGCAGAGTTCCCCTCCCTCTTGCAGGACACTATGAGGGGTAAGCAGAGTCGTCTGCACAAAAACCAGCAAAGGCTCTGAAATCTGTGGTTCTGTTCATTCAAAATCTGTCTTGTCTTAGTGTGTATGTGAAGGTGGGGTCAAAGAAGTACTTCTCCAGGTGTCTGCAGAGGGTGATGACGCCAGAATACCAACGGCAGTGCGCAGCAGGCGACAAAGTGAAGGTACCTGGAGAATGCCACTTCTGCAAAATACCCAGTAACTGCATCACCTGGTGCAAGACGAAGCTGGTAAGAGGAAAAACTCCCTTCATGAAGATCATCTCTTTAGTGTGTACTAGTTGTTTTGAAACATATATAAATAAGTAAATAACTAAACACTCATAAGCTAAGACATAGGAAAGCATAATATTCAACTTTGCCTCTTTTGTTAAAGTTTTAAGACAAATGCTTGAGTCTAAAACAACCTTCCAAATCAACTAAAGAATTACCTCATAAATTTTTTTTTTTTAAATTGCAAGTTTTGGAACCATGTACCCAGAGTTTAGACCTAAATCCAACAGAAAATATTTTGGGGTCATTTGCATTAAGCTGTATTTGTCACAATCTGGTCGATTTAAAGAGTTTCACCAGAAGACTAAATGCTGAAACTAATCACTTCAATGAAGTATTAAAAATGTCATTTTATGGCATATTTTTCATTCTGAGCTCCATTAGATGTTTCAGATGGTAAGCCAGTTCTTTAAGTCCATTTCAGAAGAAGTAAACACTTCGCCGTCATTCCATGTTTGTTCCTCAACTGTGACTGGATGTCGTACTTGGTCGTCTCTCTCTGCAGTTTGATCGAACAAAAATGGAGCCTGCTCCACCTGCTCCAACAATGGGCTCTGGAATATTAGAGGACGGGGGTTACTTCGACCCTCCAGAGTCTCCCCCGAGCAGAGACTATTTCCCAGATTACATTGTGACTGTGATTGTGCCCCTGATCATTGCCGTCCTTCTGTGTCTGTTGCTGGCCTACATCATGTATGGCAGGCGTGAGGGAGTGTAAGTATTTGTTTTGAATGCCCAAAATAAAAAATGAGATATGATGGTTTACATTCATGTAATGTTTTTTTTTTCATTTTGTTTTTAGTGCAAAAAGAAATGCAAAAACAGACGAGTAAGTAAACTCACTTTTCAAAATCTAAAAAAGAAAACGCGAACGCTTTTGCAAGATGCTACATGAACTTGAATACGATGCTCTGCTTTCTGCAGCATCCAGCTGTACCATCAACAAACCATCCATGGGAACACAGAGGAGCTGAGAAGCATGGCCTCCCAACGAGGGGTCCCTCCTCCTCTCTCTACGCTGCCCATGTTTAACAGCCGCACAGGAGAGAGGGCGTCGCCGCTGCAGTCGGACAGCATCCCTCTCATCATGGCCCAACAGTGAGAAACTCTCCTGCTGACTGCTATTGTTCTGAGCTGCAACAGCCTTGCTAATTTCCGCTGTTTGATAAACACATTAAAGTTGGTGATGAGTTTATGTTTCTTTTGTTATGATGTCTCACTTTTCGGCTGTTCTCACAGGGATCCCTACTGTGACACACTGTCCAGGTAAACAAACATTCACATTCACTCCTTTCGCTAACACCGATAACTCCATTCCTTCTCGTGTCATTCTTGTTTGCAGGAAGTGATGTCGGTCAGAGATAAAGCATCTTTGAAGCTCCGCAAAGTAATGAACTTTGCTTCATATACACGAGTTTTGGAATGACCTATTTGCAGCACAATTAACCTAAAACCAGTTTATCATATTATTTGCTGTTCATGATTTATGCTTGTGTTTCTTTCTTTTTTTTAGCTTATTCTATATTGTTTTGTCCATTTCAAGACTTATTTCTTGACCTTTGAACTTGTTCTTTGTAGTAATCAAATTATTATGTTCACTATTACTGTCAAATGATCCCATCCTCTTGAGCGCATGAAGAATACCTTTTCAAATTAAGTGAATAAATGATTAATGCACACAAAGTTATTGCTTTGACATCACGTTGTCCTCTGCATCTAAGTATTTGTATTCAGTCCCCGACAGAAACCTGTCTCAATAAAATCCAGTGCAATAAATGGTTAATTTATAAAAAGTGTTCACAAGTGTTTACAAGAAATATCAAGAATAAAGCTGTGGAGAAATTTAAAGCAGGGCTAAGTTATGAAACAATATCCTGAGCTTTGCACATCTCACTGGTTTAAATCCATCATACGTTTGACTGATAAAGCAAGATTTTTTTTCATTACTCTATAAAACCCAATAATGACAATAATAATAAAAAATAAAACACGTTTGTGTTTGTATTTTTGTGGCGCTATAGTTGTTGTAGCACGTAATATCCACCAGGTGGCTGTATTTTCCCTTCGATGAAAACTAAAGCTTCATCTGTTTTAGACATCTTTGGTCTTCTGATAATGAAAGATATTCTTCTGCAGGAGGATTAACTAAAGTTGCAGATGCAGCTATGCCACTCGCAAAGCTGATGACTGGAGAATTTAAACTAAAAATCTTGTGTTTTTCTTTTTCAATCAGATTTTGGCCTTGTTTTCACTACTGCTTGTCAGAAACAGAAACTGCTTCATTGCAACACAAAATGTTTAAGTAGCTTTTTGTCAAAGGCCCCCATGAGTATAAGACATGGTCTCAAATGCAAGACATATTTTCTGAATGCGTGTATTTTAAGTTTCAACAACAGTGAAAACTCCGCCACTGAGTAGACCACTTCACATGCTTTATTTCAGCACCCAAAATAATTAAAAACATCTTGATTTATTATACATGTACAAAATAAGTACAGAATCTCTCCTTGAAACCATGAAAGTCGGTCTGCTTCAATTTCCATTATTAAGAAACTCTCTGCAAAAAAAGACATCAATGAAACATAAACAACCGGGAAGATGTGTGCTGTTCTTTTGAGTGTTTTCTCTTTTTTTTGTCCCTCTTTCTTTGTTTTCAAGGATATTTAAGGAGTTTTCCACAGATGGGGGCAAACACTGAACATGTGGGCGGGGAAGTCACTCGCTTGTATCTACAAAGACACGAATGCATGCATCACACCTGCAGCAATCGCCTCTGTCATCAAACCAACACTCAAAGAAAACAATTGCACTGCATAGACAACAAGACAACGAGTGAATTTAGTAGCACCAAAGTTCTGCAGGCATTAGTGGCAACAATTACAGTATGAGAGTGAGAGTTTGATCATCAAATACTGATAACTGGACCTCATTGGATTAGTAATAGCACCTTTAAATGGTTTAATGTCCCCCTATAGGCAATTTCTAAAGAAAAATTGGGGGTGACTTTGAGGTAGCCATCTATATATTGCAATGAAGGTGAGCTTAATTGTCTTGTTCTTTTGTTGGTCCAAAGTTCAGGTGTTTTTCAGATGTATTTAGATCAACAAGACACTCCACACTTTTTACAATTTATTTAACACCAGAAAAATGGTACATATCATTTGTTGTTTTCAAAGTCCTTCTGCAGTGGTAGGAAATAGGTAAAAAGTCACCTGATTCTGTTTTCTTTTTTCTCTTATTTTTAATCATTTCCTTTGGGGGAAATTTTACACATACGTACATTATTTTCTTGTTGCCAGTGGAGTCAAAAGGTTTTATTTAAAGTGTCCTTGTGTGGTTGGTTTTCAGATGAAGTAGCAGTCCCAAAAAGCATCTCAGGGTTGGAAAAAAAATGCAGACACTGTCTTCAGTGGAGTGGTTTTAAAGCATTGTGGACCAATGGCGGCCGAATGAGTTTTGGTTGCATAGGGAAAAAAAGAGGTTTTAGAGATGACTGCTAGAAAAAAACAACAATGTCATGTCCATGTTTCTTTCATTTTTTTTTTTTTTTTTTACAAGAAGCAAACAGGGCCAACTTCAACGCCAAATTCCTGATCGGGTGCACCAACATCCATAGGAGCAATGTCAATGATGGGCAGTCGGGATGTTTTCGATGTCTTGTAGTCAATGACTGTCTTGCCCCATGTGCCAGTGTGTGACTATAGAGAGAAACAAAAAGACAAAACAGGCATAAGTCTCTAATAGCTTAATAAATACATAGAGATGAACAGAAAAATCATCTGTCTATCCGGTATATTCAGTTTTGAATTTGATTAGTCATAGCCTGGCCTAGGAACAATTAAGTTGGAGAGAAATGTAAAAACTTAAATTCTTTCAGATGAATGAACTGAAAAAACTTGATGCAGATGCTACTTGGTTGCATTAACAACACTTTCCAATTTTGGAGACTCTCCAAGGTTTCAAAGTATGAAACCTTAACCTAAAATACATTTTTCATTTGACTCAACATTATAGTTTTGGTTGAAAAATATGAGGACGGTGCCTTTTACCAGATATTTCTCACACTTTCTGTGTGGAAGTTGTTACTGAAAGAGGAAGGTTAAATGTCATTGCAATGTGAATTATCACTAAGGTCAAATAAATAAGGCCAGAGAAAGCACTAAGACAAAGGAAGGATCTTAAAGTGAACATGTATTTTCTTAAAGACATTCAGATATAGCTAGTTGATTTAAGTTGCTGGACAGCAAGAAAGAGCAAGACTTCACTCAACACATGTATCAAACATGAGTTGAAAACATTGAGCTTACAACTCATGTTTGTTTGGGACATACTTGATTTGAAAAGCTCAAACTTTCTCCAGGTAAAGCAAAAAGAAAGGGCTACTTTGCTGCTGCTAGAGACAATAACCATGCTATCTATTAATGCTGGTAAGTTCTTATTCGCATCGTCTTTGATCCAAATCTTATTCAAATCACAAATTGGCCATAAAATTTGTATGAGTGTATAACTTCAAATATGACTCAATACGAAGACAGAGGGAACTTACCGTGCAGCCATCCTCGCTGACGCTGTATGTGAAGCGGCTGTTGCCTTCGGCTCTGATCTCGACATCGTTGGAGCCCTGGAGAAGGACGGCCTTCTTCAGGTTGCCTGTTGCAGAATCCATGTAGGCGATGCTGTTCTTGCAGTGATATGTCACGTTCTGTGAGGCCTGGTTGGACATCAGGCGCATGAAGGAGATCTGGATGTTGACGTCCTCGGGATCAGCTCCCTCGGTGCCATACTGGAACTGTGTGACGGGTAGAAGCAAAAGTCACTTTTTGATCGTACTGACTAAAAGTAATCAGAGGGATTTCGTGACTGCGACTCTCACCTGGAATCCACCGGTCATGGACTCGCTGAACCAGATGTGCTTCTTCTCTCTGAGGTTCTTGCTGAGGTACCAGTTCTTCATGGGGATGGTGGAATCGATGGGGTAGACGCAGGTCTCTCCAGTCTCCATGTTGCAGTGGACCTGGATGGCGTCCAGAGAGGAGCCCTGGTTGGGGTCAACCCAGTATGTGCCTGTAACCGAGAAAAATATAAGGAGGGTTTCAGGTTTGATCAAAATCTAAGTCTGGTGTAAGGTGCTGAAGAAAAGGTCTATGAACTCTGATCCTCACTCACCGCTCTTCCATTCAGGGTGGCACATCCTCAGGTCACGGCACATACGAGCAGGGCTCTTCTGGGAGCCGTCGGGGCTGCGGATATTCTCGACCTTCTGGGTCAGGGTCTTCAGGGTGGTGTCAACCTCCATGTCACGGTCACGCATCATGTTGGGGTCATCAGCGCGGTAGCCACCACGGAGAGGATCTGGACCCTTCTCCTGCTGGGGTGGTGCAACGAATTCAAAGGCACTGCCAGGGGCTCCAGGAGGTCCAGGGGGTCCAGGAGGTCCAGGAGGACCCTGTTTTGAGACAAGACAATAGTGAAACATACAGACTTACAGCAGGGATTACTAAGGGCTTTTGTAAAAGTCACCCTGACATCTTAAGTTGTCCCTAAAAGATTTATTCTCAATGGAAAATGACTAGATTTGAAAAGGTCTTTTGAAACATCTTATATATCTTCAGTTTCCTTCTGCTTTTGCACTGTTTACAACAATTTACTAGAAAGGTTTCTAATAGTAATGAAACTCACAGAAGGTCCCATCTCTCCATTGCGACCACGAGGTCCAGGGGGTCCGATGGGTCCGGGCATACCATTCTGACCATCCTTACCGGGGGAACCATTGTTTCCAGAAGGTCCCTAAAATGAAAGACAAATCTTTTATAAGCTTAACTTTGTTTATTATTAGTAGATTTAATGCTTTGAGACGTTATCTTGACACAATGAAGTAATTCCAAGTACTTTTGATTCTTAGTAAAAGCTTTGTGGTATGTCCAAATATTGGCATGGTGGCGCAAAGCAGCTGGACTTACTCTGGGTCCAGCGGGTCCGGAAGCGCCAGCGGGTCCTCTGTCTCCATGAACACCCTGGTAGCAGGTGAAGGTAACAATGTCAACATCATAATTAACAACATTAAAAGTTTAAAATGTCAATCTGAGTAACTGATCAAAATAAAGTGTTCAGTAGTGTTCTAATGTATCGAATGTGATTATGTGGCAATAAATGCATAAGGGATTATAACTCTTTTCGAGGAGATATATATATATTTTGTTTTTCAGCAGTGTGTAAGTGGTAGTAGAGACTCACAGGAGGTCCAGGCAGACCAGGCTGTCCGCTGAGTCCTCTGTGTCCCTTGTGGCCTCTCTCTCCAGCCTCACCAGCCTCTCCTCTGTCTCCCTTAGCACCAGCAGGGCCCTGAAAATTCCCAAAGTTGCCATGACATGTTAATGCACAACTCTGAGTCTTAACATGGATAACCGGGATACATATGCTATAGATTGACAAACTTACAGCAGAACCACGGGGTCCAGCAATGCCAGAAGGACCAGCAGGACCAGCAGGACCCTAAAGGAAGAAAAGAGGTTTAATACAAAAAAAAAGACACACACACAGAAGTTTGGGACAAATTTAATAATATTTTTTTAAAAAAAAGAAGCACCAGTGTCATTGGGGACTTACACTCTCTCCGCGTTCACCGGTTTTGCCAGAGGGGCCGACACCTCCGGGGGCTCCTGGAGCACCAGGAGGTCCAGGGGGTCCAGCCATGCCACTCTCACCACGGTCTCCCTATAAAGTATATGTCTGTTAGCCAGGCAGCTAAGATCTACATTTTCAGACGTATAAGGAAGAGTTCTCCATTAACAGATATGATTTGGGGGGAAATAACCCTTTTTAAAGAGTAAATGTTCACCTTGGGGCCAGGAGGACCATCACGACCAGGAGCACCATCATGACCAGGAGATCCCTGCAGAGGAGCCGCAAAACTGGTCAATCAAAACTAATCGAAAGGAAATATCAGACAACAGTGATTTCAAGCTTCATACCTCACGACCAGCCTCTCCGGG